CCCCGCCGCCCCCGAGCGCGGAGACCCCTCCCCCAAGTGCGGGGACTCGGCTCGTTGTTAGTGCCTGACGGTGTATTGATTTTTGTGTTATAAATGTATGTACTAATATGAGATGAATATATTTTTGGTTTTATAGAATATAGTCATGTTTTATTTCCCTTGGCACTTCCAATTTTTATATCGAAAAAGAATTAATGACGTATTAATAAAATGCCAATTATCTATGTATCATAATTCTGACTCAAACGTTACCTTAAATATTTGTTTAAAATTTTGACTTCATCAAGATTTTACGGTTCGAAGGTGTAAATGAAAAAACGAAAAAACATTAAAACATAATTTATTATTATTAAGTCGCACAACAGTCATACAAAAATAAATACAATCAAACCACTAAACCAGTATGGCCGACACACATACAATAAATAATTTTTATTACCAACTAATATTAGCTATAACTTAGACTAAGTAAAGCATCATCCAGCAATTCGTTTTACAGATAAAAAGACTTATTTTATAATTTCAATTGGTTTAAGTTACTCGTACACTGGCATTAGATGTATTGGTTAGGAGGTGGTCTGCGCTACGATCTACAGGGCGAGACTTTGCAAAAATCTCAGACCGTTAATAATAATCTTAGATCGTCAATGACGATCTCAGACAGTCAATAACGACCTCAGACCATCCATCAGCAACGATCTCAGACCGTGAATAACGATTTTAGACCGTCAATATCGATCTTAGACCGTCAATAACGATCTCAGACTGTCAATATCGATCTTAGACCGTCAATAACGATCTCAGACTGTCAATAACGATCTCAGACTGTCAATAACGATCTTAGACCGTCAATAACGATCTCAGACCATCAATAACGATCTCAGACCGTCAACAGCGCTTCCAATTCGTCAGCCGTTACGAGAGCGTGAGCAGTGGTCGTGTTGTCGCGATGCGCTCTTGCGCGCGATACGGCCGCATGTTGCGGTCCACGTCTACATCTACGTCCTGTAAACCAGATAATATAACTTGAAACAATAACAAGTAATTAATTCATAATATTTAGAGAAAAGTGCTATCCACAGAAGGTGGAAACAAGTATAAATTTAAATGCGTTACTAGTTATTCTTATGAAGATGAAAGTCTGTGACATCTCTTAGGATAAGATTAGGTATTACTAAACAAGTCAGTTTTTGTGAGGTCGTAAAAATCACTCTAATTAGCATATTTGTTTTACTGCTTAGCTTATGGAATAGTGCCTTTCGCCCGCTACTCCGTTCGCGTGAAATTAAAAAAGTAAGTAGTCTGTTCTTCCTGACTATCCTTAACATCTATGACAAATTTCGTCGATATTTGTTCAGCAGTTTAGGCTACAAACTCTATCAAACATCCATCTAAATATTCGGAGTGTTTGTTTTGTTGTCTGAAAGAGTTTACCTCGGGTTCGATGTTGCGCGCCCAGGGTCCCCAGCCAGGCTCCTCCTCGTGCTCGTAGTGGTGCTGATGCTGTGCGTGCTCGTAATAGATCACCTACACATTTTATTAACTTAGTTGTCGTTCATAACGGTTATGAGATATCCAGGGAACTCATTACGGATGGAGCAATGAAAATGCTATTGGGACGACATTAACTTTACTGTCGAAAGGCATTGAATGCAAATGTGCGACTATCGTCTGCAAAACAGTAGATTTGTTATTCAATCATTTTGCGCTTGTTTGAGTTAAAATAGTCGTGACTTTTTCCTTTTGAAAATTTCATCCCGTCTTTTGTTATTTTCGATAAACGGATTATTATTATAATCAGTAAGAATCGTAGTCACGGAGCGAGAAAGTTGTTTTTGAGTCGCTCAACACAAACTTGATTTACGGTTTTTGAAACCTTTTTGATTTTTAATTTAAGATTTAAGAAAAGTGATTCGAATCTTGAGTAAATAACACTGCATACCAAAGGTCGCTTTCTCTGAGTGAGATTTGAACCCATCTAACAAATCAGAGATATATGATTATTAAACGTAAATAATGAATACTTCCTGCACAAGGTAACTAAAGAGTAACATCCTCAGATACGCTTGTTTTTTTTTTTTAAATCAGTCAAATAATGTGATAAAACCTTTCCTTTGAATTCTCTTCCGTATCTTTAAATTCAAATTAAATTATTACATTTTTACGATAACTACAATTTTACAAACTTCGTCCTATGGGATAAATATTTTTTTTTTTAAATTAACTTAGTGTAAACTATAATTCTATGTTAGAACGTTTACTCGGGACGCTGGACGGAAAAATCTTCCACAAAGCAAGGGACAGAAAGTACGCCCAGGACGCTGGCAACGCTAAAACCACAGGCTCTAGAGAATTATATTTTTTACAATGGTGTAGTTTTACTTTTCTTATATGATTGATATCGAAGTATCAATAACACGTATGATTTAGCAATCAATTTAATCGCCGCTGACCAGGTTATATTGAGATCTGAATATTCGAAAGCGCGGCCTCTCTCCGCAGCTTTCCCTCGTTTGCGACGCGGAAACAATATCACACTAAATGGATACCACTCCATACAAATGACATCTCTGATAGAAAATTATCATACATACATATTCTTAAGAATAATAGTAAAGTATTTTTTACGTATATTGTATTTTTATTTAGAAATGAGGAGAAAATGTTTATTTATCTCTAACTAGATGTCGCCTGCGTCTACTTCCGAATGGTTTTAACAATAACTTTTATTAGTAACCTATGTGTGCTTTCAGATTATTTCTATAAACTCCTTGACTATAAACTAAACTAATACTTGAGTAAGATTACACAATGAATATAAAGACTGGTTTGGATTAATTTTTTGAGTTTAAGACAATTAAATGGCACAATTATGCGCTAACTACATGTCTATACATTAAGGTCGCCTCTTAGTACACTGAAGGACTGTTTCAGTAACCGTTAGTTAACTAACCATTATCGTCCAAATTACTTAAGTTGTAGGGTTAACCTCCGGAAGAACTTTTACATTATGTACTATCTGTGTTTATATTCACACATACTATGTTGACTGACATTTCTAACGACAAACGTGTGATGTGTGTCAATGCGTGCTAACACATTACCCTACTTATGGTGCTTAGAAGTGCTTAGCTTAACTAAGTGAAAGGTGAATGAACTTTACTTGTTGACAATGAAAGTGTTATTTAAATTTCGATGGTTTTAGAAATTTGTAAAGGTTACGAAAAAGTTTTTTTTAGTAATATTGATTGAACTTGCTTTCCGAATTCTATTAATTTTTTTTTTAAAGTTTAGCGGCGCTTAGTAATCGATGTATTTAATATTCGTTACAATATTCGGCCGTTAGTTCCATACTTTTGATTTGAGTTTAGGATCTATCTAGACGCTGAGATCTAAGATAATTATTTACGCTTGGAAAGTCGTATTTGAAACAAGTTTTATGAAATCGGTAGCAAACTCCGATATCGGATGCTTCGTTAATTATGCGTTTGAAAGATCAGGATTTAACGGATGAGGAATAAATTAAATATTTCACTTGCAACGGAATCGTAAAGAGAAATTACTCTAGAAATTACCATGAACTTGTTTGTGTTGAGTTTTCCACCAGAGTATGTATGTTACGTGTAAAAAAAAAGATATTTTTCTCCTTTTCAAGAGACGATTAGTAAATCTTGAGGAAGCAATATTAAGATGTATTTACGAAATGTATCAGATTAATAAATAATTTCACCGGTATTTTCTTTGAAAGGTATACTTTTTGACCGATTTCCCAAAAGAAGGAGGTATTCAATTCGACGATGTTTTTTTTTTTTCTGTTATCAAGTTTAGTACCACTTCTTGTGCTTGTATTGATTTGCAATAAAACATTTTCAAAATTATAATAAGCACCATCTTTTGTCTTTGCTATGAAATAAACTAGATTCTTAAATAAAATAAATATTATTTAATGGCATCTATTGGTAATTAATTTAATTAATTTGACATGTGAGTTTAAGGATATATTAATAGATGGTGTTAGGGAGGTTGTGAAAAGAAGAGTGCCTTTTTATTTTTTATCACTGTTGCTATCTATTGACAGATCCTTAAAACTTGTATTTACATTAATTGCCAATAGATGTCATTACATAATAAATTTTAATGTTTATCTTTTATTTTATACTGTTTTTATTATTTCATAATGTAAGATGAATGGATTGCTTATTATAATTTAGTAAAATGTTTTATAACATGTCAATACCACGAGGTGGCCATAATCTTGACAACAGATTATATACTTCACTGTATATTTTTATATCTTTGGTACCATAAAATATTTTATAGTTTTTGGATTTAAATTATAATTTTGGTTAAGCTTCGATAAATTAGAATTTATCAGTAAATAAGCTATTGAAATCATACACTATTAAATTAATATGACGAATCTAATTTAATGGGACTAGTTTGTATTACGTTTTTGTGGACGATAGATGGCGTTAAACAAATAAAACAAACAGGATAATTAGTCCGAAAGAAAAGTTTAAAGAACTACATATGTTTGTTTGAATAAATATGTTTATTATACTAACATGGTAATGAAATTTAAACAAATTAAAATGTTGTTTAACAAGTGGTATGTTACCCTAATTAACCCATCAAGTTTTATTATGGCTCTTTCATAATAGATTTAAACATAAAAGGCAGTGAAAGTTAGACAGTAGAGTCGTTTTAAATTCAATTCGCTTCTTCTTTAGTGAATAGCTTCGCATTATAAATAATTTTAGTTAATTGCCAGATTAGTGTACTTTCTTTTTCTTTGTTCAAGTACAAAATTCAGAACATTTACATCACTAATACCATGGTATATGTAAACAGAGAAAGTGTTCAATTTAACCACGACACATATTTTATATAAAAGTCAGGCCTTATTTGGGCATTACCAGTGCCCTGGGCGAGATTTCTAGGATGCCCCTTTATACAGCAGAACCTCGATAAGTTAAAGTCCAAGGGAAACACAAAACATTTTAAGTTATAGAGGTTTTAAGTTATCAAGGGTCTTTGTTGTAGAGGTTTTGGGCTCTGATGGGAAGGGAACATATTATTTTTTGAAGTTATAGAAGTTTTTATGTTACCGAGGTTTGAATTATCGAGGTTCTACTGTATTTTCCGCCGAGGGTGGTTGCCACACGTCGCCCTATCTTAACCAGTAGTGATAAAAATTCTACGTTATTTACTATTCATAATAAACGTTGATATTTTTCTACTTTTTTTGTTATTAGACATAATAAATAGGACTAAATATGAAATGGTGTTTCTCATTTAAATGTGATGTGATTAGAAGAGTAAAACGGAAGACGATTGGTATGCGTCGCGTGTGGTGAAAGCTAGATTTTTTGATGGGATTCGATATCGCTTTTGCATCGATAATTCTGTTACATAGACCACTTGACTACAATGTAAATTGATGTTAACTGTAACGATGGAAACCGCTGGATTAGTAACGTTTAGAATAGTGTTGTGAGAAATGAGCTTCGAGCCCGAAACTCGAGCTGCGAGTCGAAGCTACTGAGCCTTAAGAGCTCGAGCCTTGAATGAGTCGAAGACTCGGGAGACTCGAGCCTTTTAACAACTCTAGTTTAGAAACTAAAGCGATAGTCTTTTGTCGGTTTCAGACAAGTGACTGCAGTTTTAACAGATTGTTTGACGTGATTCAAAAAGTAAAATAATAAAACTATTTATGTGACTTACCTTTTGAGGCTGATGGTGTTTGTTCTTTAGCTCAACCCAAAACCGCGCCAAGTTGATGGCCAGACCGATCAGCGCGATTATGAAGAATTTCACCTGAAATACATTACCTTATATGCAAAATTTGACAGTGGTAGTGCCCGCTTTAACATCTTAGCACTGCAGGGCCGGCACGCCCCCAGTAATACCACGACCACACAGAAGATAGGCATGAAATGGAAGCAATTCCGTGTTTCGTCTGATGAGTGTGGTGCCGGAGGCCTAATTTAAGTCCCTTTCTCTTTATCACCCTTTTCTTTTAAGGAGAGGTTGGGAAGAGGAAGTGGATTTGACGGTGGAGGAGATGCATAGGAAGGGAAAATATTCTTTTTATGTGCGTCACCTCCTCCGTCGTATAAGGGTAGGCAACGCATCTGCAATTGCGGATGTCTATGGGCAGCGGTCGCTTCGCCATTTTGGCGGTTTCAGATGGCCGCTTGCTCGTTTGCCACCTTGTGTTATAAAAAAAGAAAATAATAAAATTGATGTTGTGTGAATTGTGTAAAAAGTCATTGAGATTTCTTTTAATTTAGTGTTGGTGTCGAAAGAAACCGAAAGATCATCATCTCCCTGTGTTGATTCTACACCTATAAGGACAGCACACCAGGTTTTTGTCCTCCTTCCTTCTTGATCTCATATTTCATGCATCCATCCATCTCTTTCTAGGTCTACCTCTACCGATGTTCACACTCTTAACTAAAATTCTAATTTCTTAAGTTTGATACTCCTCAAATATTCAATTGACTATACATTTTTTTATACCTGTAATTTGAAAGACAAAATCTGTAGCAGAGTTCCTATCTTCGCTTTGAGTACCGCGCCGAGGATCAGCAGCTTCAAAATAGCCTTCTTCTTCTTCTTCTTTTTGCCTCTTTGCTCTGAAGTAGAGTACAAGAATTGAGATGTATATATAACATAAAATCAATGTCAATTAGAATCATGTAGGATATTGAAGTGAGAGCAACAACTGTCCTCGTTACAGTGAGATGAAATCACTGGAGCACGCAATCAACATACACGTTTCATTGCCCGTTCACATTATCTAAACACGTATGACAACATAGTCATCCGCTCATTCCGTTTGAAAAAATAAAGCCAATGTTTCTTAGTAAACGTGTTACAATGGAATATTGTGATTATATTCCCCACGTGCGGATAGATAGACGAGGGTACAGTTGGAACTTATTTTATTTTTAAACGGTTCCATCTGTCACCTTGTTTGTGATAGTGGGACTAAAAGGTGGGGTGGATGGAACATTTTATTCTCATCTGTCCCCACGTGGAGACAAAGTGAGGTGACGTTTGGGAATAATTCGAATATTGTTTTAGACGTAGGAAATCTTAATAAAACTTGAAACGGAAATGTAATAAAAGAGATAAATAATAGCAATTGATATAATCTGTGAGATTAGTGCGAAAATAATTGATATTTATTTATTCTAAAAGTTCGCATTAAAATCTACGTGTTGCTGGTTTCCGCGATTTAAATAATTTTATCTTTTTTATTCCAAGTTATTAATACAACACTATGTAATAGGTTATTTAAATGAAAATTATCAAGTAGAGTGTTTTAACTTTAATGTTATGCATTACCGGTTTTAAATCCTTCTTTGTCAAATATTTATAGCAACGGAAATAAAAGAACGATATCAAAAACGTATAAAAACAGTCTAGTTACACAGAGATTTAATGGCGTTAGCATTTTTTAACAACCTTTTACTTATTGTTATCCTAGTTTTCGTACGCGACTCTAACCGTGTAGAATTAAAAAAAAAACAAAAGAGAGTAGCCTATAGGTTCTTCCAGACCATCCTCTGCATTTATACCAAACTTCATTGAAATCCGTTCAGCCGTTTAGGCTACAAACACTAACAAACATCCATCTAAACTTTCGCATTTATAATATTAGCAGGATTTTATAAAACTCACCTTCAAAAGAACTCTTGTCCTGAATTCCGTTGTCAACATTTTCATTCTCCACCACGTGCTCTGCCAGTGCGTCAAGCGCCTGCTCCCCGATGCCCCACATCTCTGACACAATACCTCTACCTCTTCTGTTCGCACTCTTAGAATCTCCCAATTCTTTTCTTGCCTCTTTAGAATCTTCTTCAGTATCCTCTACTCCAAACTCTGGATTGTTCAGTGTTCTCGCATCTGTTTTGCTTAAATCAGTTTGAATATCCTCATTGTTACCTATTACCCAAGATTGTTGCCCCTGAGGGAATCCTCTGCCTTCATTCTTTGCTGGTATCGGATTGAGAAGGTGGATCTTTGGTGGCTTTGGTTTTCTCATTTTTATTTTCTTGTCATTGTTAACTGTGGTCGTTGGTTTTGATTCTATATTTTGATCTTGTCTTCGCCTTCCCAACGCTCTGTTAATAAAATAAATGATTTTTTATTTTAATAGCCTAACTGTTGAAGCACTAAGCGCCTAACAGGCTTATATTAACTAATAATTTACTTATAAAATTTGTCCTAATATTTGCTTATACTCATTTTATTCTTAAGTTTAATTTAATACCGCGTTTATTGGTTTTGGGTACGGACTACCGATCTTGCAGTCGAGGGTTCGAAACCCGCGATCCGACTATTGTCGTGAACCATATCCTAGCACAATCCTAAAGCTTTGTTGGAATAGTTAAAGAAAATATTGGTAGATTAACAAAAATCTATTAATATTTTTATAAAAACGTTTTAGTTGTATTTAGAGTTATTGTATAATGTAACTGGCTGTTCCCCTGCGACTTCATCCGCATGAAATTATGAAAATTTTATTTCATTGTTTACACGTTTCAAATTGTCAATTGCAAATGTCAAAGTGATATGACATACTGACAAGCCATGGCAATCCTGCTTCCTTGATGTTGGCAGCAACTTATGGTCTCTTTCCTTCATTAGGGTTTTCATCCAAAATATTTACCCCCTAAGTTTAATGGCGTGAAAACATATAGCCTAAAGCGTGACGTAAGTGTAGAGCTTTTTTTATAAAAAAAAGTGTTATTCAAAAATATGCTGTAATTGCTGATATCTTAGACAACAAAGAAGTGTGTGTTTACGCTTTATTATAATTGTATAGATATAATATTCATGAAAAATGTACGTCCTTTTTATGTAACGATGAATCATGTTATGTAGTAAATTTGTCAACTTTATTTAAACTGTAGAGAGTCGAATGAAAGTGTTTATTTTGAAATGTGCTAAGTATTGTGTTTGCTCTGAGAAAGTTAACTATTTAGCCTTTAGGTAACTGTTATGTGTCATTGTTGAAAATCATAATTATATTTAATTGTAAAAGTAAACCGTGTATATATGAAAGTGTGAAGATAATACAAGTTTTAAAAAACTAGACAATATTCTAGATAATTATTTATGATTCTGATGTTATCATTACATTGTTGGAAGAATGTTCTAGAAATTTAATGAGAAATAACCTAAAAAACGCGTGACATCTACAAATACAACTTGTATATCAGCCGAAAGCTGACATGAATCTAAACATACAACAGACATCAAAATTGTATTGGAATTTGGAGTTGAAGTGTGGCCTTATCAAAGACGCTATTCCAAAAAATGTCGTTTGAATAAACTATCGCACAACTGTTCCCTCGCTTTAATTTCTATGAGCGCATGGAAGTACGCACACTACTGGATATATTTGTGCAACTAAACAGTTAAATTGGCTAAGAAACAGTCGACAATCGCACAACAGTTGTTCGATTGTCTAGTCAAAGGTGTGCGCCTCTCTTATTCGACCTCAAGACATAGAGGTTTAACTGATTACGAAATTCCTATGATTTTTGTCGAATATAAGACAAGTTTTATAAAACATTGTTATCTATAAGCTATGTCTTGTTAATGTTGTTAACCTCGCTTGTAACGGAAATTTTACGCATACATTTTGGCAAGGAAGTTAGAGACATAATTTAACTTTAATAAAACCACGATTCTATGACGTTTGAATAAACTTAATGTTGTTTTTCAACACTTACTGCGTAAGTTTGGTGATACAATTAGGGCATCTGGCGGTGTTCTAACTTCCATCTTAATAGCAACAGCAGTTTGTACGCATTGAGATGATTTTAAATGTAGTTCACTAACTATACGAAAAATGTCGGTCAGAGGTACACGGATAGTTGCTTTTTTACTATCCCATCATTGACGAAACAGTCCTGTCTAACTGATTATTTGTATGAAGACGCGGTGTTTGTGTCCAGGACCAAGGCGTTATAACCGCGGAGTTTCCCGACTGTACTTATTGTTTAAATGATGAACTATTATTATAATTGGTGCCCTTTTTAATTGTTTAAAGACATGCAAGGCTCTCATCATATAATTATGGTTGGTATGTATGTCACCAGTGAAAGTGGACAGGTAGGGAAGTCGGGTCGTGGGTTCGGCGACCGGTTCTTCGCATTTCTCTATCAGTGCGTTGGGCGAATTAAGTGGGTAATGCAAGTTTTTTTAACAAACACAATTTGCGAATGCAATAAAGTGTATAAAATGTACTTATCAATATCAATTAAAACATAAGTCTTACCCATTAAAAAAACAACCTGAGTGTACATAAAGTTATATATAACAATATCAAATAAACATTATTTTAAAAATGTCAATTTGAATATATTTAATGACAAATGATGACCTCCGCACTAACTGAGCCAATATAAAGCTACGCTACAGACACTCAGTTTTAAGAACAGTTCAATTCGTTTGTTCTATTACAACCGAGAGTCTATAGCGGGCCTAAAAGTCGTGACAGTTGCTTTGAATTTATATGGAATACGTTCGTTTTCGATAGCGCACAATAAAGCCTCATTAAATCTACACTTGACTGAGGTTTCGCTTTTAAAGAAGTGAAGCTACGTTCCCATAAGGTTTACGTGAATGTAAACGCGCAGTAACTGTACACTTCGTGAGAACTGGGTTCGAATCTCGGACTACAATTTGTGACGTTTCTAATGTTGGTAATACTGAGACTTCTCGTTCATATCTTTACAGTGTAGAGATGTTATGCAATTACGTAATATGAAATATAGAAGAGGTTTATAAGGGTGAAAGATTTTACTTTTTTAAATTCTAGTTATTGTTAAAGCGTGTTGAATCGTAACACACAGTGGAAAATACTTTAACGATTTCCAGTTATTTTATAACTAGCCGCGATTTCGTGCTCACGGAATTAAAAAAATAGTATGTAGTTTGTGTTTTTCCACATGTTTGTGTTTGTGTGTTTGTGTTGAGCACATTTTGAAAAGTTTAGCCTTTTATTTGTAGATCATTAATCATTTCGGTCAAATTTCCATAGAAATTAAACTGGGTAATAAGTAATTTTGCAACAAATTAACATGTAAAATTACTAGAAGTAGAAATTTTAGTTCCATTATGAACATGGAATTAAAAAACTCAAACATCTTTTAACGATGGATACAAGATTTTGTAGCAGTAATGCTATAATAAAAAAAAAACTACAATCTGTTTTTATTAGTTGAATTCAGGGTTTGATTTTGCTTTTGAGAACCACAAAAAAGTTTTACAATTAGTTAAAATTCCAACGAATTTCGTTAAAGTATTTTATTTATCTTAATTATTTTGCTAATATTGTTCAAGGTAGTAATTGGTAGAGGAAGTCAAGAATATGGCGGTGGCCTCCCAATCCGGTAATAATATCGAAGTAACGGCTCGTGCCGAGGCTCCCGAGGGAGCCCTCGAGCTCAGTTACTCATAAACGAGGTTTAGGCTAAGCGCCATCTGCGCTCGGCCACCTCAAGCCCGGTGAATCTGTAAATGCCTCTTCAAGGCAAACAGTGGCCATTAAGTCACAAAAAAAAAAAAAAATATGGTTATACACTTACACATGTATTTCATAAACTCGTTATTGTTACAGTCAAACCGGTTTTATATGTATTTAAATGTGAGTGCAGGTGAACTGTTAAATGTAACAGGAAGTCAACTCAAACTGAATTTTGTGTCATAAGTAACACTACTAAGATTTGAGGCGTACAGTTTACAAATGATCAAAAGCCTCTCCTTATCATACTCTCGTGTGGCACAACGCGTGTTGGTACTCCAAATAACTCTATGACGTTATCTCAGTCAACACTCCCTTATTGATCATGTCACCTTTTAAGCAATACATCTCATTCTAGGTCCACCTCTACCGGTGAACCACACTTATAAGTAACATATAAGTTATTGCCGTTACCTGGCGACGCCGTGCTGCAGGATGTCAGCAAGGGTTGTCAGTGACTGCTCCACCTCGGTACCCAGTTGGGAGGGCAGCTCTCCCAGCGCCCTCCCTGACGCACGCACCTCCGCGTCCGCAGCCTCTAAATCATAACATACTAGTTAATAAAACCTAGAATTTTAATTAACTTTTTTATAAAACACTCTAGAAAAGAATAAATTAACCCTTGGTCAAATATTAGGCAATTATTTCCCACTTACATTGGGAACTTATCATGGTACAATTTCTTTACTAGATTTCACCCGTGTCTCCGTCCGCGTGGTTTTTAAAAAATTAGCAAGTACCCTATGTGTTCTATATTCTATATCAGCAGTTTAGGCTATCCATCTAAACTATCGCATTTATAATATTAGTAGAATAGTAAGACTAGATTTCACCTGCGACGCCGTCCGCGTGAATTAAAGAAATCAAAAGCGAGTATCCTATATGTTCTTCCGGACTATATTCTACATCTATGCCAAATTTCATCAAAATCCTTTCAGCCGTTTAGGCCAGAAAATCTAACAAACTACCATCCATCTAAACATTTGCATTTATTTTATTAGTAAGATTTTTAACGTAAAGCCCAGAGTGGAGTGCTCCGGCGCACTCTGCCCACCCTTTACCCAATTAGGGGTCTTATTAATTCAAGGCATTAACACTAATCAGTACCAACTAAAAAAAAAGAACGTGAGTTACATATGAACTTATTAACTACACTTATCTAGCGTTGTTTGAAGCGGGTCAGATTGTCTGAGATGTCCGGCCTCTCGAGAATACTAAGAGTGAAAGCGTAAGATTTCGCAACTATACGTATATGTTAATTTATATATAGCCATCTGACGTCACTGGCTTCAATGAGTAATGATGTCATTAGGTAGTTTAAGGGCAGTGTCGTTTTCGTAAACAAAAGTGTAATTTTCTTTTTCGTAGTATACATAAAGTACATAAAACGAACACATGATCACTATTAAAAAAAAAAAACTAAATAAATAACAAATCATACTAATATTATAAATGCGAAAGTTTAGATGGATGGATGTTTGTTAGAGTTTGTAGCCTAAACGGCTGAACGGATTTCGATAAAATTTGGTATAGATGTAGAGGATAGTCTGGAAGAACACATAGGCTACTCACTTTTGTTGATTTTCATACTAGGCGTACGGAATTGCGGGCGAAAGGTAGTGATACCATATTTAATAATGAAAATCATATATTATAGTAAATAAGAGGCTATAACTTTTTACATTCGAGTAATTGTTTGTTAAGATAAATACAATATCGAGTTTCCATGACAACTAACTTAAAACAAAACAATACATTCTTTATACGAGTACATTTATTACTGGAATTATAAATAGTTTTTGATAAATTATTATCAGAAAGATTAAAACTTTCTCTTGATTATTTTTTAAATCAATAGAACATTGAAAGTCAGAATTATAAATTAACTATATTCTTCTTAATTATGTCTATTTTATGAGAAAATATGAGACATGTACAGTTACGTGTGACATAAACAGAGATTACTTATGGATGCAGAACTGACCGTAAGAATAAGAGTGGTGAGAAAAATATTTAGACAACCGTCGATCCCAATATTCAATCTTTGAGATTGATCTGAAATCTATATTAATTAGATACTTTAAATGGGAAGTGAGTCCTTCGATCGATGAATGTTACGAGACCGGAGTTTAATGTAGGATTGTATGTGAAATAAACACATTTGTTTTCTCGACCTTTTACGTAAAACGAGTTTCCTTAAACATGTTTCGAGATAACCAATTAAGGAGAACATTTTCATTCACTTTCTCCCAATTTTTGTGAATCATTTGCTGCGCCCATACACAACGAGCTTTCTTTTAATTTGCTTAAACGTTATTATTACCTGGACTGCATAGAAAGCCTATAATTTTATTTAACAGTACAGTCTCCTCCTCCGTCGATTTAGAGTAGGCAACGCATCCGCTACTGCGGATGTCTATGGGCAGCGGTCGCTTCGCCATTTTGGTGGTTTTAGGTGGCCGCTTGCTTGTTTGCCACCTTATAATATAAAAAAAAGTACAGTATTATACAGTACAGTTTTTTTTTTAAATACAGAAGGAACCGTTGCCCAAGCTAAAGTTTTCTTATTGTCATTGGATATAAGATTTTATTTTTTTATTTAATACTGGCAACTCTCTCTGCAAGTACTTTCAGTAAAATATTTCTTCTGCGACGTAAGGAACAATTAAAAATAATTAGCGACTACAATGTAATTAACGCGTCAAACACAAATGAAGATCGGAACACGAGCGACAACCTAACATGAGATTGTAAGTATGTTACAAATAAAAGACTTAATAACTCGACCAAATGACACAAACTTGTACACATGTTGTTACGCTTTTTATATAGTTTACAAACATACATTTTACAGCAGTTCTGTACGATAGATTAATAATTATATTTAAAACTAATATAAGAGGAAAGATTTGTATTTTTGTATGTATTAAAATAACTCGAAATATAATGGACCTATTTCAATTCTTTTACCATTAAAAAGCTACAGTGAACATAGACTATACTTGTATTATTTCTAGCAGACGTAGTCGCGAGCAAGAGCTAGTTTAAAATGAACCTTTAGTCCTTCGAATTCATTTATTTCGTACTAATATTATAAATGCGAAAGTTCTGATGGATAGATGTATGGATGTTTGTTACTATGTATCCAAAATGGAACAACATTGGTAGAACATATGCTACGACGACGTTGCGGGCAAAAGCTGGTATTTGCATGTATTTTAAAGTAATATGTGATGTATTATTTTAATTAATTAATTTCTTGTGTTATAATATAAACCGAATACGTGTGAAACAATGGAAAAAGCTAGTATTATATGCTTTAAAGACGTCGCGTGTTTGGAAACAGTTAATTTGGCGAGACGCAGCACTCTGGCGAGATAACGCGGACACTTGCAGTAAGTGACGCGGTCGACTTGCAATGGTTTTTGCCACTAATAGGGTTGCCACCTTCTATGATATAAGCAAAAATACTTTTAAAAAGTTATGACGAATATTGTACGTTTGCTTTGGTGAGTGTTTGATGAATAAGATTGCAAAAAGGGTTTCGTTGTATTTGATAAAAATCGAATGAGTATAAAAATCATGCAAACGGAGTTGTTATTCATATTGTTTACAAAATTAATTACATTTTGTAACGGTTGACACCCCTGGATGATGATATAGGCATCAACCGTTTACTTACAGTGATTTTCTTTCTTGATACTGTATCATTTTACTTCAATATTCTACATGGTTAGCGGTTTTATTATTTTTTTTTGTGTAATATTACAATTGAGAGTTCCAGGGAACTCAAAAATTGAGAAGGTAAAGAAAAGACTTTTGAGAAACATACAAATTTAAGAAAGTCGTCCTTAACGTCTATTTATAAATCACAGGATTTTACAATTTAGATATAAAGACCTTGTTAGTTAGGTATTTATTTTTTACCCACTTCAAATAATAGGTTTTCAATTCTCTTTTATGTTTTTTTAACTCTAAAGATTGTCTGTTATTTATAATTACATTTATAAACTCAACTAACCCCGCCATTGCCGCCGCTGCTTGTCCACCTCATCGTCCCAATTATCCAGCATCTTGCCCGCCTTATCCTTAGCACAGTTCCAGGGATCATCCTCGCCGAAGCAGTCAAAAATCGACATAACACTCGGCGCTATATTTTTACCTAAATTCATTACATATTCATACGAACGGTCAAATAAACCCGCACTCTGAACCGTCGAGAAAAAAAGCAACAAAACCACACAGCTTCTTGGTATCATTTTGACAGGTGTCAAAGTTCGCGCGCTTTTTATAAACTTTCCCGCCACTGATGGTCGCTTTCCCGCGGCCAAGGTTGCACTGACCGGAGCATGTGGTTGGAATCCGTTTTATATGACGCCTACTTTCTTTTGACTCGACTATGTTCTGCTATACGGGTTCGCTTGCACGGCCCGCTTTTCGTTACGGCCATGGTTTACTAATTTGTTTGATTGTGCTAATTCTTTTAGGGTTATATTAATAAATTGAATTTTCCAAACGACATTTTTTAATATCGTTTTCGATATCAAAACGATGACTCTCTTGGATTAAAAACGTTACATTTTTTTATAAAAATTCGTTCATTTTTTATTTAAAACTTTCTTTTCTTGATGTTAGCTATGCGCTCTAATCAGACAGGATTTCTAAATATATACTCTTTAATAATACTACATTGCTAAGTGAAATTCAAAAAGAAATGTTGCATTTTTATCTAAACACTATTTTTATAACTTTTCATTTAATAATATATTTAAACCACAAAAATAACAATCTGTATCTACAGAACCAATACTTCACACGTACGGTTCACATAATAGTAACTAGAAATCATGCGTAGACCAATTATTTGCCAAACAATATTGAAATAATTGATTATCAACGCCTTTTATTTAATTATTCACTTTCCTATAAGATGTTTTGAATGAGAATTAAAAGTAAGAGTGGAAAAAACAATTTTGAAACATAATAATGTCAGTAGGACATGCGTAAATTTATGCGTTTATCCCACACTAGTTGTTGCTTGCGACTTCATTCACGTTGATTTAAAATAATAGTTAAAAAGAAAAACTATGTTACTCACTGATAATTCAGCTTTTTAATGGTGTAAGAATTTTTGAAATCGATCCAGTACTTTTGGAGTTATTTACAAAAATACAAATCTTTTGTCTTTATTATATTAGTATTGATTAAAATCTGCATTTCTTAGTATTGATTACTTACATAATTCACAATAATATAATGAATGTGTGTGCGTTAAAAGAAAGTGTGTTTTTTGGTCTAACTTTCGATTTTTATCAATGTCCTGCACGTATTCCCTACTCATACCATTTGTATAAGGAAGCTTGATTATGTCATTCAACATGTAACAGTACAACTTAAGTTTGGAAAGCCTAGGACATCTTTAGATTATTAACAACTAGCCGTTCCCTTACGGCTTCATCCGCATGAAATTATGAAAATTTTATTTTATTATTTACATTTGTCAAATCATCAATAGCAAATGTCAAAGTGACATGACATGACAAACCTTGGCAATCTTGTTTCCTTGATGTTGGCAGCAACTTATGGTCTCTTTCCTACATTAGGGTTTTTACCCAAAATATTTACCCCCTAAGTTTAATGTCGTGAAAATATATAGCCTAAAGCATGACGTAAGTGTAGGGCTTTTTTATTAAAGAAAGAATTATTAAAAATTATGCTGTAATTGCTGACATCTTAGGCAACAAAGAAGTGTGTGTTTACGCTTTATTATAATAGTATAGATGTCTTAAATATTATTTAGATTTTGCCATACTGACAGGATTCCATCTTAGGTGTGGTTCTACGAGTATTTTTACCTAAATGACATGATTATTTTTGAGTTTTCTTTTAATTTCTTAGCTGTCATTTGTTAAGACTGTTTTGTAATTATTATATTTAATTCACTAATAAACGGGAAAATCATTATAGTAACCTTTATTTAAAGTAATATTATTCTCATAGTAAATATGCAACATTTGTTGCACATAATTGTGTGAGGTTATTAAATACTCGGGTAATTACATAACATATTATTAAAAAGTAATAACATATTCAGTCTGCATAAAAACAATTATTTTACGGTATAAAAATGTTATTTTTTGTTATTACGATTAAGTAAAAAAATTGACGCCCATGTCGTAAAAATTACCACATCATATATCCAATTTTATCAAGATGTTTCCTGATTTAAGTCTGGTTAGGTGTATAGTAAATTAAACAAATATTTATTAATAAAAAAGCTCTTAGTACATTTCTCCTTTCTTATGTTGGCAAACGTTTTATTCAACAACATTCAATCTTTTGAAGTATAGTTCATTCAATTTTGCTTCATATTAGTTATTTCCTTGCACTGCAACATTTATATGAAACTGTTGGATGATTAGTAAAAGGTAGTATATAAAGAATACTAAAAGCGTGCGCACACCTTCGACTCAACTATCGCACAACTGTTTAGTCTTGCTTTGATTCCTATGAGCTTGTATGAAGGAGCACACTATTCGATATTTGTGCAACTAAACAGTTGAAGTCTGCGAAACAATCGACAATCGCACAACGTTTTTTCGATTGTTTTGTCAAAGGTACGCCCACTCTTACTAATTGATTTGATCTTTAGATTTTATAGTACCAATGCCCTCAGTCACCTTGTTCGAAATCCAGTTCTGAAGCTAAAACTTGACACGCCTTATAAGGATGTATACGTTCAAAACCTGTTAATACAACACTTAAAAGAAATAAACATATTTTATATGGCAAATGAGTAAGAATCTGAATTCGTCGAAATAGATAACATACGCGTTTTTAATCGATGGAGGTAACTCACAGAAAGGGGATATTTCCCCTTCATACTCTCCGCTTCCGTCAAATCCCCTTTTCCATACTTTATAGCAATACTAGCTTTCACCCGCGACTCCGTCCGCGCGGAATATTAAAAGCAAAAGCAAGTAGTCTTTGTGTTCTTCGAGACTATCCTCTACATCTATGCCGAATTTCATAGAGATCCCTTTAGCCGTTTAGGCTACAAACTCTAACAAACATCAATCCATCTAAACTTTCGCATTTATAATATTAGTAAGAAGTAAGATGGTGGCAAAACAAAGGGGTTAAGTTAATTTTGATTATGTTTTCAGCATGCACACACTACAAAGTGTACGCGGAATAATTCCAAATTGCCGCGTGTCTTGTGAGGTCGTGGTATTACGGGAGGAACACATTTGGGAGATGGTAAAGTGAACTCTACCACTGTATAATTCTGTATTGTATCTATACTTCTATTTCTATACTAATAGATTAAGAGGAAAACTTTGTTTGATTGTAATGAATAGGCTTAAAAACGATTGGGCCAATTTGAAAAAAATCTTTCACTCTAGAAAGGTAATTTATCTGTTAGTAACATGGGTTATAGTTTTTCATTTCATTATTATTATTATTAAATTTCACGCGGATGGACTTGCGGGCAAAAGTATAGTTATTTATAAAATGATATAAATTAAGTTTTAAATAAATAAATAAAAACTTGGTTCAGATATTTTTTTATATGAAATTATGTTAAAAGCGTGTTTAAAGCATGTGAGTACAGGGTCTTGGAAAGAATGAAGGAAAAATGCTTTTCCTTGCTTGTTCAGGAAATCACCATCTTCCTTGTATGTAACGTGATGGTTCAAGGTCAAACAAATCAATTCATTTTATAACTTTCTCTTTATTTATATAAAGATTTCTCTTGTTTATTTCATAATTATTAAATTGTAATTATCTTTTTTAAAGTAAGAATAAATTAACATTTAATAGACTATAAACGTAATAATTTTGTGACTTCATGCAATTAAGAGCTAGAATTGCATCTAATAAGTGTTGTCTTTTATTTAATTTGAGTCGTTATATAAGAATTAAGATTTTAAATACAAACTTAAATGTTAAAAAATCATACTATAAGCACTTGTAATCTACAGGTCTTGGGTTCGAATCCCATCTACCAATGTTATTTTCGAATTTTCAAATGTACATAATTTACCCGACGTTCTTACGGTGAAGTAAAACATCGTGATGCACATATCGGCAAAGAAATTAGAAAGATATGTGTGAAGTCAACCAACCCCCACTTCTCCAGCGTGGTTGACTGGCCTAGTCACCCCTTATTAGGGTAGGCTCCGAGACCCTCGGTGGGGACGTATAGTGAGCTAATGATGATACTATATGCGAATGTATGGATGTTTGTTTCTACATATCTCCAAAACAGCTAAACGGATTTCGATGAAATTTGGGACAGATGTAGAACATAGTCTGGAGGACCAAATCGGATAATTTGCTTCTACTACGAGTAGAGTAACGATAATTTATATAATTATGTTACTAAATACATTTAAACGTCATTAAAAATTGCATAACTTAATACAATTACATTATTTTAATTATGTGAGAATGTTGATATTTGAAAAAAATAGATGGTTTTAATTTGAGCGGTTGTATCGTGTTTGAAGGTCGACAACCGTTGCAGTTTCCGTGAGTTAATGTGAGCGACGCCGCGCGGTCGAGTTAGTGCTACAATAACTCATTGAGTTGTGGGTATCGCTTCGTGGAGGGTAAACGCGTCGCCCTATCATGTATTCGGAGGTCGCTTTGCCCACTGCGTTGCCTACTGGCTTGCCCACGACGTTGCCCACAGAGCCCACTGAGCGTAAGAGGACGTTTTCCGTCAATCTTCTACTCCGCTCTTTATTCCATTGTGCGACTCTAGCGCTGTGTGTGTTTGTCTCTCTGTGGGGCATAGTGATGTGCATCTCTATAGATACAAAAAAACATTCGGACCCCATCATTAAGGATCTGAAGTATCTCGCAGCGGGTTTCGGAACGAATTGGAATTATGTGAGTGTTTTAAAACGTTTTTAAATCTTGATCCTTTGTGCTGTATTTAGATAATAAAATACCACTTAGAATGTGTTAATAAATCGTTCTGAAAACGCCATTTAATATATTCGTAATATAAATATTTTTAGTAATATATATTCGCAACTTGTGTTAAGAAATTTTAAGCTAGATGAAAATGTTACAGCAACAAATGTTGATTACTTTCTGTCTACCTCGACAAGTTATGATCGATTTTATGTCTCATATTTAACTACATTTTGTATTATTATCGAGGTTAGGTCGCTAAGGAATTCTACGGAGGAAAATATGAGGAAAAAATAGATTTAAGTATAAAAATAGAAAATATATAATAATCTACGTTTATGGAATAATTTCTATAAATTTATCTTAAGCAGTGGTAGTGCCAACTTTAACATCTTAGCACCGGCACGCCTCCAGTAATGCCACGACCACACAGAAGACAGGCGTGAAAAGGAAGCAATTCCGTGTTTCGTCTGATGAGTGTGGTGCCGGAGGCCTAATTTAAGTCCCTTCACCACCCTTTTCTTATAAGGAGAGGATGAGAAGGGAAGAGGATTTCACGGTAGAGGAGATGCATAGGAAGGGGATTTATCCTCTTTATGTACGCCTTTTCCTCCGTCGGATAAGGGTAGGCAACGCATCTGCAATTTCGGATGTCTATAGGCAGCGATCGCTTCGCCATTTTGGCGGATTCAGGTGGCCGCTTGCTCGTCCACTTTATGTTGTAGGCGGTAAGAAATCGAATCTTGTACTTTCAACACTATCCGCTGAGCCATACATCGTCATGCATCTATTGTTTTTAAAAGTAGAAACAAGGGTCAAACAACTTCAGTTATATTGAACTAAATTAATACCATTTTAATTACAATATTCAATGTTAAACTCAAGTTTAAATATTATGTAACAGTTAAAATAACCAAGACCGTTCTATTTTGTTATTCTCTCACGAAAAACTCACGTCTTTGTGGAAAATTTCGTTATCTACGTAAAATGAACTAATAAATAAAAAAAAACATATAATGTTGATAGCTAACTAAACTCTAAAGGATTTATAAAAGAGAGAATAAAGGAAAAAAATAAACCAGAAACTATTAAGATTGAATGTGGATGACAAAGGTAGAGGAAGACCGAAGTATGGGCGGATTGTGTGAAGGTATATGCTCAAGAAGGGAGTGGATTCAGATATGATATCTGATAGAGATGTACGGGAGAGCAGCACATACTGTGCCGACCCTCCGTAGGGATGAGCAAGCTTATGATATTGAAGACAAAAAGACAATTTCAAATCGCATGCAAGAAATGGTCTTTCCTCGGCAGTATTTTCAGGAAGTGAGAATATGATATACACAAAAGAAACCCTTCTCCAGGTCCTTTTGCATTTAGTATGTCTATTGCCGTTAATCACCTCGTTGTTCCCGCTCGTGCGCCCATTAAAAAAAGCTTTCATTTATAATGGCATATCTTGTATTTTTAGCCTTATCAAGAATATAAGAGTTGTGTGATTGTCGATTGTTTCGCAGCGAACTCAACTGTTTAGTTGCCAGCTACAAATGCTTAAGCTTATAGGAATCAAAGACTAAACAGTTGTGCGATAGTTTAGTCAAAGGAGCGCTCTAAAAAATCTGGCCAGGGGGCGCATCAATCTGATTTTTATGATATAAATTATAAATGCGAAATTGTATATGGATGGATGGATGTTTGTTAGAGTTTGTAAAACGGCTTAACGGATCTTGATAAAATTTAACATCGATGTAGAACATAGTTTGGAAGAACACATAGGCTAATTAGTTTTTTTTAATTCCACGCGGACGGAGTCGCGAGCGAAAGCTAATACATTATAAGTACGTAAAGAGATTAGTATTCATATTTCTAATCAGGCCAGGCTAAGAACAGTTAACATAATTACAATAAAAAATTCTACTATTCAATACTAATAAACTGCATTGAGTAACAAAGGAGTAAATAAGGGCTACTATACATGGGTTTCGTCAAGATAAAGTACTTTCAGCTGCATCTGGAAACTGCCGCGTGTATGGCTAACAAAGTACTGAACAATAGCTACCGTTTGAAGTACAGATAATAAAATAATATTATTTGTTAATCAGTTCGCGTGTGGCGAGCTTTAGTAATAATAAAAGCGAAAAACTACTGCTAATTAAACTGAAGATAATTAATATTAATTCATTGTTGTATTGCAAGAAATGTAATTATTTTAATGAAAATCTTAAAATTTACAATTGTGTGTATCCATATTAAGTGAGCAAACATATGTTGGACAATAAACCAAAATCTAAAGCAGAACAATAACTTTTTTGTAATTCTAAGTAATTTAACCTGATCTTATATCTTGTAATTAACAAACCGTGAAGTTTTCTACACTCAAGTACAAAACAAAGGCATAAGTAAAAAATAAATTGTATCCAAATCGTACTTTGATTTGTACGTATTGGAAATGTTTTGAATGTCCTAGGACCTGTCGCGAAACCAACGTGTAAAATATGTGATGGAAATATCGGATTTTGTTACCTTTATCTGACAGTGACTTAATTTTTAAGCTATCCGAGTCTCTATCAGCAAGTGGTGGGACAGGCCCAGAGTTAACACAAATTAAGTCCGTCCTGTTGGCTGAAATGGAAAAAGGCAATTTAGAATCTAAAATTTTTTCAGTCTTATGGTATATGATTTGCCAACCGCTAGGTATTGTTACTAAATCTATACATATAATAAAAATGGAATGTCTGTTTGTAATATCAAAAAAAAATCCAGATTTCTGGAAGATGATGTATTTGCGTTGCTGATCTCGGAAATCGCATTTAATTTTTTTTTTGTCTGTCTGTCTGTCCGCAAGCCGCGTTTGTTCCAGGTAATCTCCGAAACGGCTGGGCTGATTTCAATTGGACTTTCAGGACTGAAGGGTAGCTGACATAGACGAAGTCGCGGGCAACAGCTAGTTGTTACTAAAGCTGTTAATAAGATTGTCGTTGGTTTAACGGAAGGTAAATTTCGAAGGCTTCGGTCATTTCCTTCTTAATACCTGCAGTTTATAATGTACTAACTGTTTCTCGCGACTTCGCCTGCTTGAACTTAAAAATTAATAAAAAATAATGTAGCCTATGTTACTCGCAGATAAATTACCTTTCTAACGGTGAAAGAATTTTTAAAATCGTCCCAGTAGATTTTGAGTTATTTCAGTACATACAAAAATACAAATCTTTCCTCTTTATAATATTAATATTAGTCTTTATAATATGTATAGATATAGATATATTATGTTTGTGTCTTATTATATCGCTATAAAACCTAATGGATAATTTACACAAAACCTCACACACTTATTCTTTTCATAAATTATACAACCTAAATTGATATATAAAATGTAAAATATTTGAATCAACATTGGCGATTTTTTTTTAAAGTTCCAAGTAACTTATTGCGAAATAATTTTTTGTTAATTTTAATTTGTTGTTTGGACGATACTAATATGTATTTTTTTGTTATTTTTCACTTATATTACCTCGATTTTATTTCCGGGTTAAGAGCAAGATATAGTTATGGAACCGGATTGTTTCATATCTAGCGAAAAACATAATTAAAACAATAAAGTTTAGCTAATAGGTTAGTTGCAAAATGGAATATCTTTAACAAAAAAATAAGTACCAAGCATCTCATTAACAGAAACTTTACAAATGAGAAAAATGGAGAGAAATACGTAAAAAAATATATAAATGTGACTTCTAAATTCGAAGTTGCCCCCTAAACTTATGCTGCTGGCAAAGCCCGTGGTTATTTTTTTCTTGATACAGGCGTTTTCCTAAAGTCATTTTTCGGTGTGTTCTAGAAAAATAAAATATTTCGATAAGAAATAAAACAGTTTTTTGTGTAATTTTGCATTATTTAAATAAGCGCCATCTATCGGAATTACTAAGAATGTATACAAGAAAAGAAAACACTAAAGTCTACGCGTTTATTAAATCTGATCAAAGATGGCATTAAATTATATTTGAAATTAAAATTTTGGGACGTACCTAGTAAAATCCGAATACTGAGTAGTTTGCGTTTTAAATATTAGGTTTTTTAATGTTATTCCTTAAAATTAACTAAACCATTTGTTTTTTTCATAGAATCAGACTTACATTCACCTGACATTTACAAGTACCTAGTACCTACTTACAACAATTTTACTTAGTTGAAAATCTACTAATATTAACTTATTGCATTCAAGTAATTGTATTTTTAATACAATGTAGTACATGTTTTATTAGCTTTACCTGAGACAATACATGGGATCGATGATATTGTACATATGTATTTTACATATGCTTTTACCCGTGACGTCCTCATGAAATTAAAAAATATATGAAATACAACTTATATAATTAAGCTATAACATAGCTTACTAATGGTGAAAGAATTTTTGATATTGGGTGTAATTCTAAAAAAAAAATACAAATCTTTCCTCTTAATAAATACAGTATTAAATTATAGATGTCGACATCACAAAGTTAAGATGAATGGATGGATGTTTGTCAGAGTTTGTAGTCTTATCGGCTGAACGGATTTCGATGAAATTTGGTATAGATGTAGAGGATAGTCTCGGAGAACATATATGCTACTCACTTTTTTAATTATACGCGGCCGGAGTCGCGGGCGAAAGCTAGTGAGAATATAAATTAGTAACTATGACATTTAAACATAATGTAGAACTGTGATGACGTCATACGTCATAAATAATAGCGAAGGATTCCTGCGTAACCAAACCTGTTATTTTTTTAATAACACTTGTACTTGTAAAAAACAACAAAGAAATCAATCTCAAAAACTGAATTCGCTGGAAAGTTTTAATATTGCGTATTTTCGGTTCACAAAACATGATTATGATTCTTTAATGATAGATTTTTAATGGTATATTTTTGCATTTTTTCTAATCCAAGGTCAACGACGATTTGCCTCTCAGCAACAAAGAACAATCCGCTCATTTGAAAATAAATCTTGGGATTTGAACCCAGAACTCGAGGTTACAGAGACTGTCAAGTTATGTTAAACACTTGCATTTCTACTATGCAAATGTGTTCAAAAGTAATTTAATAACTTAAAATTATACGCTAAATATACTTCCTACATTAATTTAATTGGCGTTTGTATATTTTTTTGGCGAGGCCTTAGATCAAGGAGGTTATATACCTCGTGTTGACTCGACACCCCGAAACGTTCGTCCAATCCATACAACAGGTTCACCTCGCTGCAATAGCACGTACTTTTACAACATTGTAGCATTTTACACGCGAACATTTAAAAAAAAATCTTTAAGACATTTTGGCTGCACAACAGAGTAGCCTTTGCCTCTTCGTGTTTCAAGATGGAGGTCGAACAGAATGTTGAACAGGCGGGAGTTTTCAAAAAGAGTTTTTCAGTGAATTTATTAATAAGAACTGTATTTCATGGTATTAATTGTGTTTTGTTTTGTGTGGTTGGTGTTTGGGGTGTTGTTATGTGTTTCACAATAAAAGAAGAGAAAATGACTGATCCGTTGTTGAAAGATTTGAAATATTTGGCGGCATTTTTCTTGACCAACTGGAATTTTGTAAGTTTTATATTATAATAAAAATTATTTATGTTAATGTTTTAAATGTTTATTGCGATATTCGTTTTTATATCACAGACTTTCAAAATGAATTTGATTGCGAGTAAAAGCACGTTAATTTGCACATTAAAAATGGCTAACAAATTGACTTATTGATGATATCGGGTTGTAAATCGTTCTATAATCAATCTGTTATGAACATGACTTCAATCGATAAACCTTCGAATGTAAATCACGTAACATCATGTGCTTATTTGGTTCATGAAGGCGATTTACCTGAATTACCGTATTAGAGTCAAGATCATGGTTTTTCCGCGGATGTTTAATACTAAATTTTATCTAATTTCCATAAAGTTAGAGTCCATAAAAGTTAATTCTTATAGATGTTATTTAACCGAGCATTCTATTAAGTAACAGGGTCGTTTATTATGAATACATTGGCCTTAAGTGATTAGTGCATATTTCCATAGCCGGGCGTTTAACGACCTTCAAGAGTCGTACAGGTTTAGCGAGCAAGAGGTAGGGCTGCCAACTTTTTAGAAACGAACTCACTAAACCTTGCACCTAGAAAACTAAATGAAGTCATTTTCGCTTGTTTTGTACCATCTTTCTGACCCAAGATCCTGTCATATATTTAATTTGAATGTTCACCATAGAAATCTTTAGATTTCTTGTCAAAGTTGCAGAGTTGGCAGCCCTAGCGCGGGACGGCCGCCGCACGGGATCAATACGTCGGGGCTCAGGGCTCGAGATAAACAAATACATTGATAATGTATTAAAGCGATTATAACGTGACTAGCTGTTGCCCGCGACTGCTTGCGTGGTATTAGAAAACATACGAACTATAGGACAAAAATCCCTGGGGAACCGGACATTTCTCGGGGATGAAGCTTATCCCATGTGTACTCCAGACTTTGTTTTATATCTGTGCCAAATTTCAATAAGATATGTTGAACCGTTGCAGAATGATCGAGTAAACATTAAAAAACTAAATGAATAAATCCCACGGGAACTGTAACTATTCCCGGGATAAAAAGTAGCCTATGTGTTCTTCCAGACTATGCTCTAAACCTGTGTCAAATTTCATGGATATCCGTACAGCCGTTTAGGCTACAAACGCTCACAAACATTCATTCATCCATCCTAACTTCGCATTTATAATATTTATATGATTAAACAATGTTGCCAGTCGCTAAAGTTAATGTCCCCTACTACGGAAAATTACTAATGCGAAATCAGGAAGTCGAGTTTCGTAAGATGCGCTATTCTATTGTTTTCTATATAAAATTGTTCTGAAACATGATACGACTATTTACAAAGTCACGGAAGAATTGTTAGGGCCTGTCCCACCACTGGCTGATATAGCTATTAGCTTAAAATTGACGTCACTGTCAGATAAGGTAACAAAATCCGATATTTCCATCAATTTACACGTTTGATTGTTATCAGACAATTTACAATTTGGTGGGACAGGTCCTTAGTCTCCCTTAGTAGTACATTAAATGAGAAATCAACACTAACTTGCTTAGTAATCAATTAACTATACGTTAAAAACATCGACTATTCTAGAAAATCTGCGTTTCTTGTTCCTCCGAAACGATTATACCTTGACCGTAGATGTTCAAAAAATCATTAACTCAACATAATATGTGAAACAACAATTTTCAAGGACATTCATAATTTGAACTCAACTAACAACTGGTTTACATTATGTATTCGTAATAAAACGCGAAGGAATACAAAACTAACTAATTAATTCTGTTAAAAACGCATTGAAAAAGTAACTTTTTTGTATGCCGTGGTTATGACTCGTGTAATGTAATCTTTGTTGTATTAACACTTAGTCCTATAGCCTTTTAAAAACTAAAATTTTAGAGGTGACCTGAAATTTTCTTATAAACTGTTAGGTTACTGTTAGTTCCCTACTAGAAGTATTGTTTAAAATATCAGATACTTATTTTCAACGTAATATTCTGACATAATATAACTTGAAGCCTTCTAAATATGTATCTGATGTACACGAGAAGCCTTTTAAATCATTGAACTATGTTCGTAAATAGAAAATATGATTTTTTTTAAATAATAGTAGATTTTTCTTAATTTACTAATATTTCCTTTAACTATTCCAACTAAGCTTTAGGCTTGTGCTAGGTATGGTTCACGACAATAGGCAAATAGCGGGATTTGAACCCTAGACTGCAAGATCGGTAGTCCGTACCCATAACCATTAGGCTATTGACGCTTTAAAACATACTTTTATTAAGGTTATAACCTACTGTAAATGTTCATTAAACGATATATTTAGGGCTGCTTACTTCATATAGACGTAGATCCGAATAGTGGCTGAAACCACAACACAAACACAAGAAACAATTCTTGTAGATTACCATGCATCATCTATATCTATCTATACTATTATAATAAAGCGTAAACACACACTTCTTTGTTGCCTAAGATGTCGGCAATTACATCATATTTTTGGATAATTCTATTTTTAATAAAAAGCCCTACACTTACGTCACGCTATAGGCTATATATTTTCACGTTATTAAACTTAGGGGTAAATATTTTGGATAAAAACCCTAATGTGGAAAAGAGACCATAAGTTGCTGCCAACGTCAAGAAGGCAAGGTTTCCAAGGTTTGTCATGTCATGTCATTTTGACATTTACAATTGTATTTAACAAATGTAAACAATAAGATAAACTTTTCATAATTTCTTGCGGATGAAGCCGCACGGGAAAAGCTAGTTATAATAAAAAAAGTGTATTAGCCCTTGTCTGATGATATATAGAAAAGACATCTAGTAACTTTACAACTATCAACGTTTACTTGAAGATATTAAAACCATAGACCAAAGTATAGACTCAAAGTTTTCGTGTCAAACGTAAGTGGCAACCCTAGATGGCCTGTGGTCGAACATTAAAGGTTTTAATGGAATTAACTCATCCAATATCGATCGACCTTTTAATCGGTCGAGTAAATAGACACACAAAAGCTTTTAATGTTTTAGCTTAAGTGGGCCAATTCGACCACAAAACATGGAAAACATAGACAACAAAATATTAGAATACTGCCACTAAATGTAACATGTTTATAGAATTTGTTTTAAGTATGTGCTTTAAAAAAATGATTGGAAAGGGGAAGTAGTTGGGCATATGAGGGGAAATTTCCTCTTTATGTGTCCTCTCCTTCATAGATTAAGGAAGGCAAAGCTTCTTCAATAGCAGATTTTGACGCAGTTTGAGACCTTACATTAGGAAAAAAGCTAGTCTGTTTACTCAGTGATAACGTAGCTTTTTAATGGTGAAAGAATTTTTTAAATCGGCCTAGTAGTTTTTGCGTGAATCAAATACAAAACCCAAAAATACAAATCTTTCTTCTTTATTATATTAGCATAGTTAGTGTGGATGTTTATAATTGAGTTATATGCGTTTTTTTAATTCTACTTAAGTATTTTATGACTAGGCGTGTAGAAACACTTACTATTATTACTTACGATTTAATTTTTCAGTCAATAAACTTTACATCACCGCGATAAGAATAGTAAACCATTACTATGATTTCACGTTTTTTTTTATTTCATAGCGAATGCATGAACAAGGAGAAACAAGTATTTATTATTGGAATTCAAAAAGGACAAGCTTAAATAAATAATCACTAAACAAAATAATAATTTGAAGATGCAATTTAAAAACATTTGAACAAAAAAAATTAGTCATTACTTTTAATGATTATATTAAGAGATTTTGCCCACGTCTTCGTCCGAACATAATTTTAAAAAGTCAGTAAGTAGACAGACTAAGTTTCTTCCAGACTAAATCTATACTATTATAATAAACATGAACACACATTTCTTTGTTGCCTAAGATGTCGGCAAATACAACATATTTTTGAATAATTCTTTTTTTAAAGCCCTACACTTACGTCACGCTTTAAACTATATACTCGTATAAACTTAGGGGTAAATATTTTAGATAAAAACCCTAATGTGCGAAAGAGACCATTAGTTGCTGCCAACGTCAAGGAAACAAGTTTGCCAAGGTTTATCATGTCATGTCATTTTGACATTTGCTGTTGATAATATGACAATTATAAACAATAAAGTAAAATTTTCATAATTTCATGCGGATGGAGCCGCACGGGAACAGCTAGTTCTACATACATTGGACAATTTTATATAAGTGGCGAAGTCTGTTAACAATTGTTGTTACTAAATATATTCGTAAGAAGGTATACGAAGAAATACGAGAACAGACTTACAATAAAGTTAGGTAATTCATTACACGCAGACAGATGTTAAGTCAACCTTGACACAAAAGGATAATAAAACACCAATAATGTAGGATGAAGAGACGCACATCTTTGACTAAAGTATTTGTATTTCAGCGATTGTCGATTGTTTCGCAGAGCAACTGTTCAGTTGCATAACTAAATATTGAGCGTGCGCACTTTCATATAAGCCCATAGGAATCACAGACTAAGCAGTTATGCGATAGTTTATTCAAATGTTTGCGACGCACTTTTAACATTTTTCTTATCGATCTGTTGTTTTAAGATTATTACAGCAAAATCTTTATTTACAACTGGTATCTCATAAGTAGGTTAACAGTGGCAGAGCCCGCTTTAACATCTTCGCACGAATGAGCCGGATCGCCCCCAGTAATACCACGACCACACAGAAGACAGGCGTGAAGTGGAACCAATTCCGCGTTTCGACTGATGAGTGTGGTGCCGGAGGCCTAATTTTAGTCCCTTTCCATTTCCACCCTTTTTTTAAGAGGAGAGGGTGGAAAGGAAAAGTGGATTTGATGGTGGAGGAGACGCATAGGAAGGAAAAATGTCCTCTTTATGTGCGTCTCCTCCTCCGTCAATGGACGGTAGGCAACGCATGATGCAATTGCGGATGTCTATGGGTAGCGGCCGCTTTCCATTTCGGTGGATTCAGGTGGCCGCTGGCTCGTTTGCTACCTTATATTATAAAAAAAAAGGTTGGAATAC